ATTAAAACAGAAACACTAAATCTGCTAGCTGATAGACTAGGTAGAACTCTCGTAGACATTGGTATAGGCAATGACTTTATGAATAAAACCCCAATCACACAGGAAATATCACGAAGAATCAACAATTGGGATCTCATCTTATTAAAAAGCTTTTGCAGGGCTGGGGACGTAGCTCAGTGGCAGCACACCTGCCTGGCAAGTGCAGGGTCCTGAGTTTAATTCCCGGTACCAAAAAAAGCTTTTGTACAGCAAAAGAAACCACCAACAGGGAGAAGAGACAACCCACAGTGTGGTAAAAAGTTTTTGCCAGCTGTTCCTCAGACAAAGGACTAATATCTGGAACATATAAAGAACTAAAAAATCAGATCCCTCAAGTTTAAAGACCCAATCCAAAAATGGGCATCTGAAATGAATAGATACTTCTCAGATGAAGAAGAGGAAGCAAATAATATATACTTCTCAGATGAAGAAATGGCAAGTAAATATATTTTTTAAATGTTCAACATCACTGGCCTTTCAAGAGATGCAAAATAAAACAACACTGAGGTTTCATCTCACTCCAGAAAAAAAATGGCTGTTACCAAGAAATCAACCAGTAACAAATACTGGAGAGGCTGTGAGGGAAAAAGAACTCTTCTCCACTGCTGGTGGGAGTGTAGACTGGTGCAACTACTGGAAATCAGTGTGGAGATTCCTCAAAAAACTAAAATTGGAGGTTCCATTCAACCCAGCTATTCCTCTTCTAGGTATCTTCCCAAAAGAATTAAAAACATCAAACCACAGCAATATGTGCACATCCATGTTTATAGTGCCACAATTTGTAGTAGCTAAATCTTAGAAACAGCCCAAATGCCCATCAGCCAACAAATGGATAAAAGAAGATGTGTTTTGTTTTGTTTTGGGGGGGGGTACTTGGGATCAAACTTGAGACCTTGCACTTGCAAGGCAGGCAGCAGAACCACTGAGCTAAATCCCTGGCCCCAAGAGGTATTTTTTTTAATACAATAGATTACTACTCTCCCATAAAGAAGGATAAGCTTCTGACATTTCTAGCTAAATGGATGCACCTTGATACCGTACTCTTAAGTGAAATAAATAGGACACACATGTTTAAATACCACATTGTTTCTCTGGTGTGAGAAACCAAAAGTGTAAATAAGGACCAAAGTGTATAATAGATATTGGAAAGTGGGAAGAAAATGTTCAAATGAGAAGAGGAACAAGGCATGGGAGACCAGGAAAGGAGAGAACAAGAAAAAAAAGAATAGAAGGAAAAAATAAAAACAAAGGTTTTGTAAATAGGGGAAGAGGGGTTGAAGGGAGGGGAGGGAATGGGGAAAAAAAGAAGCAAGATGTATCATGTACAGGTACAAATTTTCTATGATGAAATGTTATAGTGTATATCTAAAATGTACCAATAAATTTTTTTTAAAGTCTGCTGCTCATGTTTTCCATTGAAATTTTCATATCATCTATCTCTGCATGCTTTCTTTTTATATTTTCTAACTATTTTCTGAAGCGGTCATTCATGTCTTGTCTTACTTAATTCAGTTAGTTCATTGTTTTTTCTTTATATTCATCTAATATTTTATTGGCAAAGTTCATCTGTTTAATAAAATCTTCTTTGATCTTGTTAAACTTCTTATTCATTTACTTTTGTTTCTTCATTATTTCTTCAAACATTCTGTCCATTTGGTTTGTGAATTCTTTGCTTATAGCTTTCTGTATTTCAGTGTCTGTAAGATCTGCTTTTGAGGACTTTGGGGAGAACACAAGAGTTATAGGGCCATGGAGGTGTCCACCTAGATATCAAAGGAGGTCCTGAGAGCCAGACAATGTGTGATAGGGTCTGAGATCCTTTGGGCAGCCCCTGAGATGGTGATGTATGAAGCTGTGAGAGTGAAGCCAAAGCTGTGGGGGAGATTCCAGGAAATTAGAGATGGCAAGCATGGGGTAATCTGCAGGCTCTAAGTATACCTAGCCAGAGAGAGACAGGCAGACAGACAGAGACAGAGACAGAAACAGAGGCAACTCATCTGGGCTGGAACCAACAGGGCCAGGGGTGCAGGGCTATTCAAGTCTTTAGAAGGTCATATCTCATCACCATGTGTCCCTTAATACCAGACAGGGAGAAACACGACTTAATGTTTTTCCACTGGGTTTCAGTCTTGCTTTAGTCCCATCCTTCCTTTCTATGCCTTCATTCCTCTGTTTTGGAGGAGTGTTTACCCTGTGGTGTTTTATCTTGGGAGTATATGACTTGATTGGGGGGGTAAAAAAATCTATTTATTTTTGTTTTTTGGTACCAGGGATCGAATTCAGGTCCTTGAGCTTTCAAGGCAGGTGGCAGACCCACTGAACTAAATCCCCAGCCCTGTTTTTGTTCTTTTTATTGCAAAACATTAATTGGTACATTTTAGGTGTACATAATGGTAACACTTATAAGGAATTTACATCTGTACATGATACATGTTGCCTCTTTTTATAACTTGATTTTTTTATTTTCATCGGGATTCACAACTAAGAGTTTGCCTTGAGTCTCAGAGGAGACTTTGGACTTTTGAGGAATTCTGGAACTGAGATTTTGTAGACTCTTGGAGATGGACTGAATGCAATTTTCACAGTGAGATGGACATGAGCCTTTTGGGATTAGGGATGCAAGTTATGGTTTGGACTTGAAATGTCCCCAAGCAGAACTCATGTGCTAAAAGCTTGGTTGCCACCTGATGGGCTTTTGGGGAAGTGATTAAATCATGAGGATTCTAACTTTATCAAGTGAATTAACCCACTGATAAGATCATAATTTCACAGCATTATTGGGAGGTAATGAACCAAAGCATTCAGTATAACCCCCAACAAAATTCCAATCACCTTTTTTTGGGTAGAAATGGAAAAGTCAATCCTCAAATTCATCTGGAGTCATAGAATAAACTTACCTTGATAAAGAAAAAAACAGTTGGAGGATTCACATTTCCTAAATGTCAAAAGATACTACAAACAAACCAGGCGTGGTGCCTCATGCCTGTGATCCAAGCACTTGGGAAGCTGAGGCAGGATTGCCACAGGTTCTAGGCAAGCCTGGGCTACATAGTGAGTTCAAGGCCAGCCTGAATTACATAGCAAGACCCTGCCTTCAAACCACCCCACTGAAGAAATATATATATATATATATATATATATATATATATATATATATATATATATATATATTACAAACAGAAGGATATCTGTTGTAATCAAAACAGAATTGTACTGGCATAAGGATAGACATGTGGACAAATGTAATAGAACTGAGTCCAGAAACAATCATGATGTATGATAACCATCCAGTAGCCAGAACACAGAAAGCGCTCTTACAATTTAACAAAAGACAACCCAATTAAAAATTGGACAAAAAAAAAAAATTGGACAAAGCGGGATTTAGCTCAGTGGTGCCACACCTGCCTAGCAAGTGCAAGGTACTGAGTTTGATCCCCAGTTCTGCAAAAAAAAAAAGAGGCTGAGCCAAGAGGATTGCTGTGAGTTCAAGGCCAGCCTGGACTACAGTGAAGACAAGGTCACTTGGACTACAAGGTGAGATCCTGTCTCAAAAAAGAAGAAAAGGGCTGGGGATTTAGCTCAGTGGCTCCACTGCCTGCCTTGCAAGCTCAAGGACCGGAGTTTGATCCCCAGTACCAAAAAAAAAGAAAAAAGAAAAAAAAGAAAAAAAAAAGAAAAAGAAAAAAAGAAAGAAAGAAAAATCCTTGTATATGATGAGTATGTAAAATGGTGTAGCTATTGTGGCAATCAGTGGTTCCTCAAAAAATTAAACGTATAATTATCGTATGATCTAGAAATCCCACTTCTAGGTACAAACCTGACAGAAATAAATCCTATGTCCTTAAGGATGGGAAATACATCACATTAGATAAAATTCTGTGGGGAAAGTGGAATGTAACTACAAATTCAAAAAGGGGAGGGTCTTTTAAAACTTTCTGAAAGCTAAAGAAGGGCTTAGTCACATATTTTTAAAGAGATGATGTGTACTCAGTCACTGTAATATTTAGATTCCATTTGATACATTTGAAAGATTGTCACAGATACAGCCAGACATTCCTTAAAGATGTAAAAATAAATTTTATTCACTACTGACATTCGGGAAAGAGCTGAGCTCCATTCTGATTTGTGCAGAGGTGACTGGGTGCTTTAAAGAGAGAATGAGACAGTAGGAATTGAATAATGACAAAAGGTTGATCTGTGTAAATACGATTAGCCACTGTGTCCCTAGCGAGCAGTAATGAAGCAAGGATTTCATCTTCTCACAGAGACAGACACAGGGAGCATGCCCTAGCTGGTTGTATTTCAAAACAATGGCACTCAGGTCTTTTAAAGTGACTCTGCTGAGCTTTAAGAGATCTACAGCGTCAACTGCAAGCTCGTTTTATTTTTTTGTTTTTTTACTTTTGGTACCAGGGATCGAACTCGGGTCCTTCCGCTTGCAGGGCAGGTGGCGGAACCACTGAGCTAAATCCCCAGCCCGCAAGCTCGTTTTATTAAAGGCTCTAGGAAAAGAAGCTCAGGAGCCTGTTGCCCAGACTAACAGTTGGTTCTGGCTGGGGTCGTCCCGAGTGCGCTGGGAGCCCCAGGCCAGCCTCTCGGGGCGGGGGAGCACACGGAGCCTTGCGCCGAGACTTTTGCAGTTCTCAGGAGGAGGAGCACAACCGTTTTGTTTTTTGGTGCCTGCACTGATAGCTCTCCAGAAGTTGAATTCTTTGCGCCTACTTAAACTTTAGATGAAATGTTCCTCAGGAGGGGGCCGTTCCAACACTCTTTGAGGGATGCGAGAGTGGCCGAAGTTTGAAGACCTACAACATATCCAATTTCCCCAAGAATCTCCGCCTCCTGGGAGGTTGCTGATTCTCAGGCTACGGCCAGCCTTGTCCCTAATCCGAGAGCGAAGCACCCCAGGGTCTTCTCTTCCCCTCGGCTGAAAGTCTGCACCACAGAGAAGCAGCTGCCCAGACTTCGCTCCTAGAGCGGCGACGGAAGTTCTCGGGCGGGGCCTCGAGCGAGTTCCGGCCGCGGTGTGCGGGTTGGTCGTGCGGGCTTTGTCGGTAACTGTGTGGGTATTGTCGGTGGCCTGCGGGGCCGTCGGCGGCTCCGGCTTCCGGTCAGAACCGTCCTCTCAACCTTGGGCACCAGGTGAGTGGTGTGTTACGGCGGGTGGGGGCTTGGGTCGCCCCGGCCGCGTTTGCCTGTTGCCGGTGGCCTCAGCGTGTCGCGCCGCCCGGGGCTGGAGCTTGCGTCTTTCTCCCGGGAGATCCGAGTGGCAACTACCCGGCTCCACCCCGCGTTGTCCGCAGTCCTCGCGGCCCGTAGGGCTTGCACATCCTGGCTACCGCGCCCGCGGCTTCGACTTCCGTGTGGCAGTGTTCGAGCCTCTGCGCTGCTGTCACAGGGCTGCTGCCCAGGTGTCTGTGGCGCTTGTTAGGGCGTCGCTGCGGTTCTGCTCGGATCTTGCTTGGGTTTGCTGCCTCTGTGCTTAGGAGCTGCAGCATCCGCACCAATGTGCTGCTAGGGCAGAGGCCAAGAGGGAGGTGTGACGAGCAAAGCCAGCTCCAGAGCTTAGGCCTGACGGAGAATTCCCAGAGGAGGCGAGGTGGTCTGTCATGCTGCCCTAGCTCTTCCTGAAGCTTCTCTTTTCCTTAGAATTCTCTGTGCTAATCCGAGGGACGTTTTGCACCCTTTACACTCTAGCTGTATCACGGTCAAGGGTGCTTAGGTCCTGAGTAGTGTCCCAGAGGTTTCTAGGCGTGTTAGCTGGTTGCAGGTCCTGAGCTCAGACCGTCTGTCTGTGGAGCTCATACTCGAAGTTGCCCTGTAGTACTCATAGAGGTCTCGTTCCTCTGAGGTCTAATATCAGTGGTTGAAAGAAATGTCTTCTGCCCACCTAAGATCTCATAGATGGCCGTTGTCCCGAGTCTTTACCTCATTCCCTATCCACAGACAGGGGATCTTTGTCCCTGTGAGGGATGTGATATTATACAGAATCTTAATAACTGCTGTAACCTTTTTACAGGAGGTACAGAGAGATTTCACAATCTTCCAGGCCTTTCCTGGAGTTTTGGGGATGGATTCCTGGTTTTACTGGAATGGTCTTGGTGATGATAAGGAGAGAGGGCAGAGCGGGGAAGGCCCCGACAGCACTCATGAGTTCAGCTGGTGATGGAAGCAGAGGTCAGGGAAGTAGTTATCAAAGAACAAGGTGGCACCATTGAAACAGTTCAGAGAGCCTGAATGCTGCCTGGGTCATGGAGGATGGCTGGTAAAAGAACACTGGGCTTGTCAGGAAAAGAAAACTCTCCCATCAATGCCTGGCTTGGGTGAGCCCTAAATGAGTAGCTGCTGGGGTTAGAAGCCGAATGACCTGGGAGAGGGGTTAGCCTGCACCTGGCCGCCGCCCCCCACCCAAGAACTGATGATTGAACCCAGGGCCTTTGCATTGAGCTACATTCTCAGCCCTATTTATTTATTTTTTTAACATTTTTGTTTTGTTTTGTTTTTTGGTACCGGGGATGGAACTCAGGACCTTGCACTTTTGAAGCAGGCAGTGGAACCACTGAGCTAAATCTCTGGCCCTTTATTTTTAAATTTTGAGAGAATCTTGCCAAGTGGCCCTGGCTGGGCTCAAACTTGTGGTCCACTTATCTCAGTCTCCCAGAGTACCTCGGTTACAGGCGTGCATCACCATGCCCAGTGGTCGGCTTCATTTCACTTGTTTGACCTTGACCAAGTCACCTCCCAGAACATCATGGATGGTTATAAAGAGAACATAAGACATAACACATCTTGCCTAGTGTCTGGTATACACAGTGCTCATCAGATGTCTCCATTACTGCAGTGGCAGGTACACAGCTTCTGATGGCTTGCTTGGTCTGCTTTTGTTATTCTTTAGGGTGAAACTCAGCAAACCTTCTTTCTCCTTTTCTTTAGGACACAAGCAACAGGTCATGACTGGAATGTTCCTTTACCAGTACGGATGTAAAATCTGAGCTTCTAGTGCTATAAGGGGCACCCTCTGAGCATCCCAGGGCAAGTGCTGCTGATGCACAGCTTTGGCTGTGAATTTAGACCGTTTCATGTAAATTTTTTTCCCAGCAGATTCCATATTTTGGAGTAGAAAAGGGTCATATGGAGCCAGAAGCCTGGCATAGTTTTAGTCACTGAAATTATTTTAAATGAAAAAGTATTGGTTCAATTTTATTTATATTCACAGAAGAAGAAGGAGCTAAGTAGAAATATAAGATTTCTGAGTTTAACGAAGTATGGTAGCACACTTCTGTAATCCTAGCACTCTGGGAGGCTGAGGCAGGAGGATCACAAGTTCAAGCCCAATCTGGACAATTTAGTGACTCTGCTAAAAAAAAGGGCTGGGGATGTAGCTCATTGTGAAGATCCTGGGTTCAGTTCTCAGTACTGCCTCCCCCAATTGCTAATTTTGAGATAAATGCTTTTCTTTTTTAAATAATTATTTGATTTGTTCATTCATTTGGCAGGGCTAGGGATCAAATTCAGCCTTATGCATGCTAGACAAGGACTCTACCACTGAGCTACCTCCCAGCCCCAAGACAGATGTCTCTTCAAAGCAAGGAATATGCTTTTTTGGGGGGGTAGGGTGAGACAGGGTCTCACTTTGTCATGCAGGCTGGCCTTTGAACTCACTATGTAGCCCAGGATGGCCTCAAACTCACAATGATCCTCTTGCCTCAGCCTCCTGAATGCTGGGATTACAGGCATGCGCCACAATTCTATTTTAACCACTACCTCTAAAGTTTAAAAAAATACATATGAAAACCGTTCAGAGGCACACAACTGGTTTAAACTATATTCTAAACAGATCCAAGCTTGTTTTAAGGTAGCCTCATTTAAGAAATAAAAAGCAGGGCCAGGGATTTAGCTGAGTGGTGCTGATGCCTGCCTCGAAAGCACAAGGTCCTGAGTTCAATCCCTGGTACCAAAAAACCAAAAAATAAATAAATAATAAAAAGCACCTGGAGCAGTGGTGATGATTATAATCCCAGCTATTCAGAAAGCCAGGACTGGAGGATTGTAAATTGAAGATCAGCCTGGGCAATTTAAGTAAGACCCTGTCTCAAGAATAAAATAAAGAGCTGGGTGTGGTGGTGCACACTTGTTATCCCAGCACTTTAGGCTGAGGCAGGAAGATCACTGTGAGTTTGAGGCTGGCCTGCACTGCAAGACCTTGTCTCAAAAAAAAAAGAATAAAAAGGGTTGGAAATGTATCTCAGTGGTCGAGCACTTACCTAGCATGTGTGAGGGCCTGGGTTCAGTCACCAGTACTGCAAAGGAGAAAAAGGTCATTAGGTATCACTAACTTCCAAAATGAGAGACTACCTCCATCTCACCCTCAGCCAATTATTTATTTTTGGTTTTTTGAAACAAGGTCTGACTTGTAGTTCAGACTGACCTTGAACTTACCATGTAGCCCAGGTTGGCCTTGAACTCAAGCAATCCTCCTGCCTCAGCCTCCCAAGTGTTGGGATTACAGGTGTCCACCACCATGCCTGGCTCCCTTTTTAAATTAAGAAAAATGGCAAGGTTTAACATAAAAGTACTTTCAAAATAACTAATCCCAGCTGATCTCTACGCAAAATATCTAACTCTTGAGAAAGGAAAATACATCTCTCACAATGAGAAAATGGACACCAGAGGCAAACAGATCTGAATTTGTTTTTTGTGGTGCTAGGATCTGAAAACAGATCTGAATTTGAACTTAGCTCTTCTCCTTACTGGTTTAGTGACTGGGTGATTTGTTTATTTTAGGGAATAACAACAGAAAAAAGTGTACATGTTCAGTGCAGACCATTTTTTTCTTCAAATGTTTTTGATCCAGAGTTGTTCATTTCACAGATGTGGAACTGAGGATGTGCAGGGCCGAGTGCTAGGTGGTAAGAACTGTGCCAAGGAGTTCTGGGCAGGAAGCAGAGACCACTGTAGCCACAGTAAACAGCAAGGGCTTTGATCCAGGGAACTAGATGACAAAACCACTGGAAGGCGTGTAGGACTGGACGTCAGGAGATCCTAACTGGACTTGGCTCCTGGGTGATCTGCAGCTGCTGTTAGTGCTATGGCTGTATATAACACATGCAGCCTCAAGTGAATGAAGTGCCATGGACCACAGTAGGTGGGGACTGAAGGCAAGATATGAAGGACTGGGCCAGGTGTGGTGCACACCTATAATCCCAACGCTTGGTAAGCTGAGGCAGGAGGATTGCTGCAAGTTTGAGGCCAGCCTGAACTACACAACAATAGGGCTGGGGATTTAGCTCAGTGGTTCCGATGCCTGCCTCGAAAACACAAGGACCCGAGTTCGATCCCCAGTACCAAAAAAAAAATGCCCTGAACTATACAACAATAACCTGTCTCCAAAATCAAAAAAAGATATGAAAGAATAAAAGACAGTGACCAGGTGGTAGCATTGATGCATTTCAGTGTTCATTTAGAAACACAGATCCTGATTTTTGCGTAGATTCCAGGCTATATCCTTGACACTGTATCCCACATTGAGGAGGTACAGAGGGTCAGCAGAATGCTGGGCACCACAGTTTTGGAGTTGGATATGTCAGAGGTAGAACCACAAAGAAATTTCCCAAGTAAGGATGGCTGATTGAGGTAACCGTGGGGTCAGGAGTATGGGCAGAGGAAACAGTTGAATCCTCCATGTGCTTCAGTAGCTTCCTGTTAACAAAGGGGAAAAACAATCTTCTTCTTGTTTCAGATTCTGCTGCAGAATGAGATGGTGATGAGAAGGTGACTCCAAAACTTGAATTTCTGAGGATGAAAGTTCTCATAAGGCGATGTCAGACAGACTCACAGTAATGGAGCACCCCACCTCTGAGTCTAGGGAAGTCCATGAAACCAGATTAGGGAAGCTATTGGGAAACCGAGAAGGGCAGAACCTAGGGAGTCCCCCCTCTCAGGAGGATGGCTTCAAGCAAGTCACAGTGACCCACTGGAAAATCCAAACAGGAGAGACAGCCCAGATGTGTAGTAAGCCAGGGAGAAACCCTATTCTGAACCCAAACCTTCTTATACTTCAAAGAGAGATTATAGAAGGGGAGGCCCATCCTTGTGGTATTTGTGGTCAAACCTTCCCATTTAATTCAGACCTAATTAGACATCAGATTTCTCATACTGGAGAGAAGCCTTATAAATGTGAGGATTGTGGAAAAGACTTCAGTCAGACCTCACACCTCACAGAGCACCAGAGAGCCCACACTGGAAACAGGTTGTATGTGTGCAATGTGTGCGGGAAAGACTTCATTCACTACACAAACCTTGCTGAGCACCAGCAAGTGCATACAGGAGAAAAGCCATTCCGGTGTGCTCAGTGCGGGAAAGCATTTTGTCACAGCTCAGACCTGCTTCGGCACCAGAGAGTTCACACTAGAGAAAGGCCCTTTGAGTGCAAAGAGTGTGGGAAAGGCTTCAGCCAGAGCTCCTTACTCATTCGCCATCAGAGAATTCACACAGGTGAAAGACCTTATGAGTGTAACGAGTGTGGGAAATCCTTTATCAGGAGCTCCAGTCTTATTCGGCATTACCAAATCCACACAGAAGTAAAGCAGTATGAGTGCAAGGACTGCGGAAAGGCCTTCCGCCACCGCTCTGACCTCGTTGAACACCAGAGGATTCATACTGGGGAGAGACCCTTTGAGTGTAATGAGTGTGGGAAGGCTTTTATTCGAAGTTCAAAGCTTATTCAGCATCAGAGAATTCACACTGGAGAGCGGCCCTATGTCTGCAATGAGTGTGGGAAGCGCTTCAGCCAGACGTCCAACTTCACTCAACATCAGAGGATCCACACCGGCGAGAAACTGTATGAGTGTGATGAATGTGGAAAGGCCTTTTTCTTGAGCTCATATCTTATCCGGCACCAGAAAATCCACACTGGTGAGCGGGTGTACGAATGTAAAGAATGCGGAAAGGCTTTTCTGCAGAAAGCCCACCTCACAGAGCATCAGAAGATCCACACTGGGGACCGACCCTTTGAGTGCAAAGACTGCGGGAAAGCCTTCATCCAGAGCTCTAAGCTGCTGCTGCACCAGATTGTGCACACTGGGGAAAAGCCCTATGTGTGCAGTTTCTGTGGGAAAGGCTTCATCCAGAGGTCGAACTTTCTCCAACACCAGAAGATGCACACTGAAGAGAGGCTATACGAGTGTAGCCAGCTTGAGGAGGGTTGTACACCACCCTCCGACTTTATCCACCAAGAGGGCCTTTCCCTAAGTGAGACTTCTACATGTTTAGGCGAGAGGTCCACAGGGCAGGAGGGTCATATGGATAACTTATGATCACTCTGACTCAGAGAGTGGTGTTTGGAGATGGGTGGAATTAGGGTTCTTAATGGCTTCCAAGCTTTGGACATGTCAGTTTCTTGAAACATGGGGGGGCTGTGTTTGGAGCGGCCTGTTGCCTGCTACTGGACAGCTGGCCTTGAGCTGGAATGGGTTGGGGTAGAAAAGATTCTTAGATTTTATTCACAAAATACAGCCCACTTTTGAGTTCCATCTTTTCAGAGCAGAGCTGTGAATTTAATCTTATTACTAAAAGAGGCTTGCCTATCAAAAGCTCGAGAAGGATTTTCTCATGCAAAGCCTCTAGTGAGTGTCCTGTTGTCCTGGGGATGACCCCCAAACCCTCACATCCTGTGTTCTAAGGCTTTTATCTCCTTGATTGCTTAGTTCCCAGCCACAGTTGGTGTGTTCTCACTCTCCGAGCTGCTCTGCTCCACTCCACTCCAACTCATCATCTTGCAGGGCTCAGGCATCATGTCAAGGAACATTTCCCTTGCACTTAGCCAGCAAGTTTTCCATGCTTTTGAGGCTCAGTGCTTACCTCTTGTAACTGAATTATGAATTATTAACCATTACACTTAATTCCTTGATGGTGATCGTGTCTGATTGATTCATACATCCCCGATGCCTAGTGTGCGACCATAGAAAACACCCCGCATGTCTGTGTAATTGACAGCTCTCTTTGTCCTTTTTGTATTGTTATTTTAAAATTTGGGGATGTTTTTCTTTGTGTCAGTATGATCTATTCTACTGGCCATATATTCTCTCCGAGACCCCTTACTGCCTTCTGCTCCTGCCCGAGAGTTGCCGAATCACCTGTCTATATTGGCACCCTCCCATTGCTGCCTATAGCCTCACCTGGAGCTGCCTATTGCCCTGAGTGCCCCCAAGTACTCGGGTGCACAACCCCAGTGTACTACACAACCTTGTTCTAGCTCAGCATGTCTTCATGACTTTTCTTGACAGTGAGACATAGTAGCTGATAGCCACAACTTAAAGGTGGAAAGGTTTATTTTGGCTCACATTTTCAGAAGTTTCAGACCCTATTCCACAGATTCCAAGGAAGAAATGGCATAGTAGAGGGGCTTATCGGACGAAAATGGTTTATGTTCTGGAGGCCAGAAAGCAGGGAGCGAAGAGAGGAGCCAGAGGGTTATAACGCCCTTCCAGGTTATGTCCCCAGTGACCTGCCTTTAATCAGGCCCCAACTCCTAACACCATACTCAGCTGCTGAACTTACTAGTACATGAATGCCCTGAAGAATATAACAGCCCCATGTTCCAATCCACTTCCAAAACCTCCACCACTGGCCACCTGAGTGTTTCAGAGGATGTTTTAGATCCACCCCCAATCCCATACCGGGGATTGAACTCAGGACCTTGCACTTAGATCTAGACCATAACAGCAGCTCCAAGATTGACTCAACTCTTACAGTTTCTTGCCCCCTGGCTCACGTCACTTATTTGAAAATGTATTGTGTTGAGGTCTATAAGAAATAGTTCTGGATATCGGGAAATCAAGAATAAGAGACCATCTGCACTGCAGTGGTGAGGAATATAGTGAGGATGGTATTGGGAGTGAAGTGCCAAGATAGATGGAAGTGTGCTCCAGGTCTTGTAGGAGCGTTAGGGGGTGACTGTAGTGGCATGGCAGTTCTGGGAAGACTTCACACCAGAGGTGACATTTTATTTTATTTTATTTTGGTACCGGGGATCGAACTCAGGACCTTGTACCCTTGAGAGTCAGGCGCCAGAACCACTGAGCTAAATCCCTGGCCCAGAGGTGACATTTTAAATGGCTCAGAGACCAGTGGGTGCTTTTCCACAGGAGGAGAAAGGACCTGGGAGAGAGAGCTCCACAGACACAGGCAGGCTCAACAGGCTGTTGCTTGGGCAGCAGAGCAGGCAGCTTTGGCACATGGGAAAGTTCAGCAGAACTGCTCACCTTGGCCTTTGATTTTCTTTCATTTGAATGTTAACTGAAACAACTAGCTTTGAGATGATTTAAAAATTTTTTTTTCCCATAAAGCATATTTTGAGTTCCCAACAACCCTTGAGGGAATAGATAATTCAAAAGGCCATACAATGTCCACTTTCTGAAAAATTCACTAGAGATATTTCAGATGATATAAAAGGTGTTAAGAGAACATTTTAATCAGACAATAAAATGCCTACTTTTAAGTGTACAGAGCTTTGGGAAATACAGCTGTGTATCCACCAACCATAGTCAAGATGAACAAATTTCTTCCACCTAAAAGTTTTCTTTCCCTTTCCCATCAGCCCATCCCCAACCCCAGTAACCACTTTGTGTCAGTGTAGAGTAGTGTAGCTTGTCCTAGAACCACACATATGTGGACTCTTGTGTACTCACTAGTGTCTGACTTCTGTCCCTTCAACATGGCTTTTGGTTCAACCACATTTTGTGTTTTGGTAGTTCTCTTTGCTGACTAACGTCCCATTGTATAGAGAAATCATTTGTTATTCATTCATCTGTTTATGGAAATATGCATTTCCAGCTTTGACTCTGAAGAGTAAAATTTGCTGGGGTTCATAGCTTAGTGATAGGGTCGTTCCCTGGCATCCATGAGGCCCTGGGCTCTGTCCTTACTATTTCAAGAATTGCTAGCCAGGTGTGGTCATGTATGCCTCTAATCCCATCTACTTGGGAGGCTGAGGCAGGAGGATTTCAAGTTCAAGACCAGCCTGGACCACTTAGTAAGATCCTGTCTTAATAAGGGCTGGAGATGTAGCTCAGTGCTTCCTGGGTTTAATCCCCAGTATTACCAAAAACAACAAACAAGGAATAAAACTGCTATGAGCATTTATGTATTTATTTGCACATGTGTTTTATTTCTCTTGGGCAAATACAACATTTATTGCTGGGTTATAAGGACCTTAGTTCATTTAGGAGACTAACAGAATACCATAAACTGGATGGCTTATAAAGGACAGGAATTTATTTCTCACAGCAGTGGAGGCTGAGATCCAAGGTGCAGGCAGTAGGGTGTCTGGTAAGGGCCCTCTTCCTCCATAGATGAATGTCTTCTCACTGTAACCTCACATGGCAGAAGGGGTCTAGGGACCTTTCCCTCTTACAGGGGCATAAATCCCATTCCTGAAGGCTCTGCCCTCACGGTGTGATTACCTCTCAAAGGCCTCACCTCTTCATACTGTCACATTTGGGGTTAGGATTTCAGCATAAGTTTGGGGGTTATGTAAATATTCAATGTATTATAGTGTTTTAACATTGTAAAAACTGCCACAGGTACTGTCTCACCCTCCTGCCACAATGTGGTGCCATTGTTGGCTCTCAGTAGTGGCCAGCACATTACATTGTCAGTCTTTTGAAGTTGACCCCATTCTTCTCGCTGATTATGATTTGTACTTGCCTGCTGAATGCTCACAGCACCTTTTCAAGGGATTATTGCTGTTCTGCGTTACCCTTTGTGATGTGGCCACATCTTTTAGTCCGTCTTACACTGGGTTCTCCTACCAACTTGTAAGAATCCTTCCATACTCTAGAGAAAGCCTCTCCAAATATGTCTACTGTGAATATTTTCTTAGAGCCTTTGCTTTTTCATCTTACTGGTGTCTTTTGAAGATCAGATTTTAAAAGTTTGAATAAGGCCAGCTTACCAAAATTTTTTACTTTTTTTTTTTTTTTTCAGGCTGGGCTTAAACTCACTGTCCAGACTGACCTCAAACTTGCAGTGATTCTCCTGCCTCAGCCTCCCAAGTTCTGGGATTACAGGCATGCGTGGCAATCAAAAAATTTTTTTTTTTGGTACCAGGGCAGGAGATCAAACTCAGGACCTTTTGCTTTCAAGGCAGGCGCAGTGCCACTGAGCTAAATCCCTGGCCCTCAAAATCTTTTATAGTTATGATTCTTTTTCATGGTACTGGGGATTGAACCCAGGACCTTCACAATAAGCTACACTCCCAACCTTTTAAAATTTTTTATTTTGAGATAGGGTCTCATAAAGTCACTAAATTGCTAAAGCTGGGCTTGAACCTCCTGTCTCAGCTTTCCAGTGTGCTGGGACTACAAGTGTGTACCACCATGCCCAGCTTACAGTTGTTATAATTTTTAAGTTCTGAGAAACATTTGCCTACTCACACCCAAACTTATAGTTTTAGTTTTTATATTTTGGTGCGTGATCCATTTTGAGGAGTGTGTGTGTGTATGTGTGTGTTTGTGGTGTGCTGATCAAACCCAGGGACTTAGACATAAAGTACTAACCAAGTGCTCTGCCACTAAACTACATCCTCAGCCTCCTTTTTTTTGGCAGTGGTGGTCGTAGAAGATTGAACCCAGGCCCTCACACTGAGCTACAGCCCCAGCTTTTTTTTTTTTTTAATAAGAGGATTGAGTTCAAGGCTAGCCTGGGCTGCATAGTTAAAACCGTCTCAAAAAACCAAAAATAAGAAAGACAGGATCTTGCTAAACTGCCTCAGCTGGCCTTGTCATCTTGCCTTAGCCTCCCAAGTAGCTGGGATTACAGACATGCACCACCACACCTGGCTTTGAGTTCCTTTTCTTGTATAACATGCAGTGAATATCAAGATTCAGGTTTCATCCATATGGAAAGCCTTTTTTTTTCTTTACCATTTGTTGGAAGACCATACTTTCTCATTGAATAAACTTCCACACTTTTGTAAAAAGTTAAGTGACCATGTATGAGTGGTTTGTTCCTTTCTTCTTGTTCATGTATTGTCACCCCAGTATGACACTATCATTTTACAATACATGTTGAAATCAGGTATTGGAAGTACTTCAGTTTTGTTCTTTTCTAAAATTTTTGACTACCCTAGGTCCTTTACATTTTTGTATAAGTTTTAGTGTCAAGTTGTCAATTTGTACAAAAAAGGAAGCCTGTGTGGGATCTGTAGATCAGTTTAGGTGGAGAAGGGGGAAAAAGTTAAGACGAATTATGTACATGTACCAGTTCCCCTCAATGATTGTAATCATTATGTACTACAGACATGTACTACTAATAAAATTTTTTTTAATCTGAAAAAAGATCAGTATTAACATTTTAATAATTGTAAGTTTTCCTAGAGGATGGTATATCATACTCTTAGTTTCTTTCAGTGTACAGGTCTCTCCTATTTTAAACTTTTGCATCTCATGTTTCTATATGCTATTGAAAACATATAGCTTTTTAAAAAGCTACTATTCAGTTGTGTCTGCTAGTGTACAGAAATTCATTAGGTTTGTGTTGTTTTTTCGGGGCGGGGGGTACCGGGGATCAAACTCGGGTCCTTGCGCTTGCGCAGCAGGCAGCGAAACTGCTGGGCTAAATCCTCGGCCTCTAGGTTTGTGTTTTGATCTTATAATCCACCAACCTAGATCAATTCACATATTTTAGTAGCTTTTTTCCTAGATTACTCAGTGTTTTCTGTATATATAATCATATCATCTGCCTATTAATCTTTCCAATATATATGGACCTTTTTTTTCTTGCTTTATTACACTGACTAGCATATGTTTCAGTTGTTTTTTTGTTTTTGCTGGTCAGGGGGATTGAAGCCAGGGCCTTTGCACTCAATTTCATTTCCAGCTGTTTTGTTTTGTTTTGTTTCTGAGAAAGGGTCTCATTTAGGCCAGGCCAGGACCAAGCTTGTGACCCTGCCTCAGCCTCCCAAATGCTGGAATTATAGGCATGCACCACTGTTCCTGTCTTAAAATTTTCACTAGATGTGTTGAAGTGCATTCTTAGTTTGTCTTGTTTTGGTATTAACATAATGTTGCTCTCAAAAACTATACACACTGGAGTTGTTTGTGTAATAATGATACATTTCTTCCTTAACTATTTCATAGAGTCCATCAGTGGAGCCCTAGGACTTTAATTGTGGGAAGGTTTTTTATGCGCTTTCGAGGCAGGCACGGTACCACTGAGCTAAATCCCCGGCCCTGTATTTTGGTTTTTGAGACAGGGTCTCACTATGTAGCCCAGGCTAGCTTTCAGTTCACTGTGTGCCCCAGGCTGGCCTCAAACTTGGGACAGTCCTGCCTCAGCCTCCTATGTGCTGGGATTACAGGCATGTGCCACCATACCTGGAAGGTTTTTTAAAATTGCAGATTCCATTTCTTTAATAGATACAATGCTGTTCAGATTTTTGCACCAGTTTTGGTAATTTTTTTATTTTTCAAGGAGTTATTAATTTCAAATAAATGAATTATTGGCATAAAGTTGTTCCGAATATTAATGTACTGGGGATTGAACCCAGTACCTTCACACTGAGCCATATCTCCAGCCCCCTTGCCTCCTCCTTTTTTTTTTTTTGGTACTGGGGATCGAACTTGGGATCTTGCGCTTTCGAGGCAGGCAGCAAGACCACTCAACTAAATCCCTGGCCCTCTCACCTCCTTTTTTTGAGACAAGAGTTTTACTAAGTGCCCCAGGCTGGACTCAAACTTGCCATCCTCCTGTCTCTGCCTCCTGAGTGCTGGGATTATAACAGTGTGCTACCATGCCTAGCAAAAAAAGACATTGTTAAAATAACTACATTTGCTGCCTAGACTTTTCCTACATCCTTATAAAGACCCCTATCTCCATCCTAATGATGTGATCCCTGTCTTGGAAACTGACCCACTGCCCCTGTTAAATAAGCTCTTATCTTTACTTTTATTCTCACCATGGTAAATTCTTCAACCACCCATGTCACTGGCCCTTTATACACTGTCTCCTATGGCAAGCAGTCTTTACTGTCCACGTTTCTATTAGCATTTCTACTCTTACGAACGCCCACCAGAATTGCCTGTTTAGCTCTACTTACAGTCTTCCAGGCTTTGTCCAACCTGATTCTTCCAACTTCTTCAAACTCTTCCCAGAAACCATTTCCAAAGGCTTCTGAACTACATGGTCTGGTATAGTCACAGCAACAGCCCTAGTTCTTGGTACCAATTTTCTGTGTATGTTGGTGTTCCATTGCTGGGATAAAATACCTAACAAAGGAGAGGTTTATTTTGTCTCAGTCTCAAGTTTCAGTCCATGGTCACCTGGTTATCATGGCAGGCATGGTTGAGGGAAGCTGCTCACCTTATAGAGACACCTGAGTTAGATAGCAATTAATAGATGATCAGAAAGGGATAGGACCCTCAAGGGAGTCAGTGCAAAAGATGAGACACATCACTGTTGCAGCTGGAGACAATTCTGAAGTGAGCCAGCCCTCAGGGCTCCCTAGTGATGAACAGCAGCTTGAGATTGTTCCATAATTGGTACCACCTGGTCCAGTGAGCCTGGGTAGTGGGTCAAACACACGGGTGGGTGACCAGAACACCCTGACCTGTGCTCCCATCCCTTTACAGGAATGCCTGTGTTCTTTGTATAGTAGAAGTTAAAGCTAAGCTAAAGTTAATGATGTCTACCATATACCCTTGTTATGTGCCTCCCATCCCTATTGGATTAATACTAGCTGAGGGGCCACATTTGTAATCCGATAGGTTGATTATAGTTTGGTCTGTAGTTATCCGAGTTGTAATTAAATTGTGTATAAATTACCTCTGGACAAAGAGTCTCAGTGACCACCCACTTTTGAGACCCCTCCTGTCTCTCAGGAGCTTTCTCTCAATAAACTTTTCCTACTCTTAACTTCCCTTGTCCTTGAATCCATTCTTCTGTATAAGGAGAAACAAACTGGGAGCATCTGATATCTAACAGGTTGGGAGTCACTTCCCTGTGACACCCTCATGGCAGCCTGGAAGCAGAGCACAGGGGAAGAGCCAGAGGAGCAAGGGAGTGGAAGATGAATGCTAGGCACTTTTTGGGGGGGGGGGTGCTTTTTAAGACAGGGTCTCGATATGTAGTCCAGGGTGGCCTTGAACT